AGGACAATGATCCAAAACATAAAGCAAAATCTACAATGGAATGGTTCACAAATAGACGTATCCAGGTGTTAGAATGGCCAAGTCAAAGTCCAGACCTGAATCCAATCGAGAATCTGTGGAAAGAGCTGAAGACTGCTGTTCACAAACGCTCTCCATCCAACCTCACTGAGCTCGAGCTGTTTTGCAAGGAAGAATGGGAAAGAATTCCAGTCTCTCGATGTGCAAAACTGATAGAGACATACCCCAAGCGACTTGCAGCTGTAATTGCAGCAAAAGGTGGTGCTACAAAGTATTAGCGCAAGGGGGCCGAATATTATTGCACGTCCCACTTTTCAGTTTTTTATTTGTTAAAAAAGTTTAAATTATTCAATACATTTTGTTCCACTTCACGATTGTGTCCCACTTGTTGTTGATTCATGACAAAAAATTAAATTTTTATATCTTTATGTTTGAAGCCTGAAATGTGGCAAAATGTTGAAAGGTTCAAGGGGGCCGAATACTTTCGCAAGGCACTGTATATATATATATATATATATATTTTAATAGTGAAGCGGCTGGGATAAGAATCCGCACCTCCAAATCTGAGGCCATGGTGCTCGACCGGAAAAAGGTGCCTTGCCCTCTCCGGGTGGGTGGAGAGGTCCTTCCTCAAGTGGAGGAGTTCAAGTATCTCGGGGTCTTGTTCACGAGTGAGGGAAGAATGGAGCGTGAGATTGACAGGCGGATCAGTGCAGCGTGCGCAGTGATGCGGTCGCTGTATTGGACCGTTGTGGTAAAGAGGGAGCTGAGCCGAAAGGCAAAGCTCTTGATTTACCGGTCAATCTTCGTTCCCTCCCTCACCTATGGTCATGAGCTTTGGGTAATGACCGAAAGAACGAGATCGCGGATACAAGCGGTCGAAATGAGCTTCCTCCGCAGAGTGGCTGGGCGCTCCCTTAGAGATAGGGTGAGGAGCTCAGTCACACGGGAGGAGCTCGGAGTAGAGCCGCTGCTTCTCCACGTCAAGAGGAACCAGTTGAGGTGGCTCGGGCATCTGTTCCGGATGCCTCCTGGACGCCTCCCAGGGGAGGTGTTCCGGGCATGTCCCACCGGGATGAGGCCCCGGGGAAGACCTAGGACACGCTGGAGGGACTATGTCTCTCAGCTGGCCTGGGAACGCCTTGGGGTTCCCCCGGACGAGCTGGAGGAAGTGTGTGTGGATAGGGAAGTCTGGGCGTCTCTGCTTAGACTGCTGCCCCCGCGACACGGCAACGGATAAAACGAAAGAAAATGGATGGATGGATATATTTTAATATTCTAAATATATTCAAATTTTGAACTTTGAAGTCAAAACACACACACACACACACACACACACACACACACACACACACACACACACACACACACACACACACACACACACACACACACACACACACACACACACACACACACACACACACACACACACACACACACACACACGTTTTTGTTACCTGGTGGGTCCCTTTGACAGGGCCGTTCAGAATGGGACCCATAGACATAATCTTTTTTTACCAAGACTTTAAGTAATACAAAACAGTCAATAGAAACCAAACAACTATTTTAAAGGAATTTTATTTTAGATTTTGTTTTCGAATTGCAGTGATTCTATTTTTGACATAGAATTTAATGCCACTCCATGTCCGATGTCTAAGGTCATCTGGTGAGGCATTAATGCAGGCCAGGCAGTGAGACTTCCCAGGGACCTTTCCAGTCTGTATGAAAGGTGTCATGGTCTTCTCCACAGCCTTCACCTCAGATGCAGACCATGGCTTTCTTACACGTTCTAGGGAGAGAAATAAAAATATATTAGCAATATACACTCCCAGGGTGAGGACCAAGCAGCCTGGCTGTAATCCCCCACCTGGTACACTTACCAGAAGGGGCACTGCCACTACCATGGGGTGCATCTGGATGAATGGTTGAAGGTTCTCCGCTTGAAGTTTCTTTTAGCCCGTCCGTTTGTGAGAGGATCTCTACTGCTCTCCCTGTCGCACAGAAAATAAAAATACAAGTGGCCTTTAGGGGAAAAAAATCATACATATTTTAATAATATCAAGAATTACCTTCAGGCTCAATTTGTATCTGGTCGAGGCTCTTTCCTTCGAATTCCGTCACTCTTCCCTGCTCCATGGCCATCAACACTTTGCTGATTTTGGCCAGCTCCAGTGTCCCCTCTGGTAGTCTGTAATATTGCCTGTGGATGCGAATGTCATGGCCGAGGAAGTTGGCAAGTATGTCCATCTCATTCTCTTTCATATTGAGAACTGTAGACATAGTAGCTATGTGCTTTCTAAGTTTGGTTGAGGATAGCATCTCTGGATGCACCGCACCACATTCTTTGGCTACCTGGCGTAGGGAGTCTGATCCCCTGATGTGGGTGTCTGCGCCCGGGCGGGAAAAGAAGTATGGGTTATGGTCAGAGATGGAACAGGCCCTTCTGTTCTCCACCAGCACCTCCATCGAAGCAATCATTTCAGGAGTCAAAAGAACCGGCACTTTCCGACTTCTTTTCCCTTTAATTTCAATGCGTTGAAAATGCTGACACAGCTTTTTCTCAAGTTGGGACAGTCCCAGAGCAATGTCAGAATGGATCCCAGTCTTACTTCTTAAGGTAAAGGCTGTCAGTGGCATCTTTGAAACCTCACCTTCCCTTCTTCGATTGAAAATGATGACCTCACAAAGAGTCAAAACTGCCAGTTTAGACCAATGCTTAGACGTTGGCTCACTTATTAGGGTTTGCACATATTCAGGTCGACATACCTCAATATGTGCATGCATGGCTCTAACGTCCTCAGTCAGAGGGAGCAGGTCCGGAGTGTTCCACTTGGCTTGCCGGAGGGTCTGTAGGGCAGCAGAAGAAACACAGACGTCCCACCTCTTCTCAAAAAGCAGCCGGCTTCGTTGGAGGTTTTTAATAAATAGTTCATCAACACAATGCTCCATTTTTGAGTCACATTCAAGAATATCTGCTAGCTTTCTGAGGCTATGGCCGAGTTTGAGGGCCAAGGATGGAGTCTTGTATTGATTTGTTTCCTCATCATATCCAGCCACAGACCTGACTGCATCAATCACATGGTTAAAGTTGGAAGGAATAAAGAAATCCTTAATTGTTTTCAGTTTCCCTGCGGTTTTTGCTTCGTTAATTAACCTACCGACTTCTCTCATTTTCTGCCTAATGTAATCATGCTTTGTCTTATCATGCCCGTGTTTTAAGTACAGGTGCTCTCCGAGTCTCAGAATCCCCTTTTCTGCTTTGACAACACCCGTGACCTCATCCTGATGCATTGCCGAAATTAAAGACCACAGCTTTTTGCTGATGCCCTCCGGTACAGGCTGGGCTAGGGAGCAGAGGGACTGGACCCTACTTCTACCTGGTTTAGCCTGGGCATCTTTCTGTGAAAGCCGGCACCTGGCCACATGCCTCCACAGCGACTTTCGCTTAAGCAATGCCCCACAGTCTATACAGTGCAAAAACTCACTGGATTTAACTGGGCAATTTGGCTGTTTAGCTGGGACTAAAGTTCCAATGCCGGCCTTTAAAACCTCAAAATTGTGCTCACGGTTTCCACTATTCCTGATCAAATCAAACTGAAGTTTACGTGCTTTAGATTTTACAGGTAGAGCCAATGCTCTGGCTACGTCACTTTCATTTCCATGTTTTCTAGTCAAATGACGGGACATTTTGTGGCAGGACATTGAACAGTAGAGGCAGAAGTGTCTCTTGCTGTATACTCGCCCCCCATTTTTCTTCTTTTGCAGCTGCATGATAACAATCTTATTTGCCTTTGGTTCGTCACTTTCCGAGTCTTGAAGAAAAGTGTTTTTGATTTTTCTTTTTCCATACTTTTTTACAGGTTTCTTCTTGACAGTTAAATCGTCAGAATCTGAGTCGACTTCATCAATTAGGGACTCTTGACTAAGCTGCACAAACAACAAATAATTTGTAATCATTCTATATAACAATTTGAAGTCATGACTTGTAGTCAGCACTTACCAGTGGTTTGTAAGCGTGCGCTTCAGTGTGCTCCTCCATGATTTCTTGCAGCCTAATGAACCACACACTTGCACCTTTTTCTAGCCTGACACCTGATTTCCTCTGTTGTGCTGCTCCATGATTGGCTCCAGCCTGCTGGACTGAAATTGCCCCAGTGTGCCCCTCCTTGATATCCCGCAACCCACCACCAGGGTTCCGACACATAACACACTTTTTTCAGGAAAGTAAACCTCCAGGGGTCCTTTCCATATTTTTACAGAGACTGCATAAGGACCGTTAGAAAAGCATTACCCATTGATTATTAAGCTTGGACCAGTGGGGTCCGGTGTTCGGGCCCCACCACGTAAAACCAGTCCCCATGACGTGAGTGGAATCTCAGGTTATGGAACCCACCAGGAGTTGAAAACAAGTGCACACACACACACACACACACACACACACACACACACACACACACACACACACACACACACACACACACACACACACACACACACACACACACACACACACACACACACACACACACACACACACACACACACAGACCAGAGAGACAGACCAGAGAGACAGACCAGAGAGACAGACCAGAGAGACAGACCAGAGAGACAGACCAGAGAGACAGACCAGAGAGACAGACTAGAGAGACAGACCAGAGAGACAGGCCAGAGAGACAGACCAGAGAGACAGACCAGAGAGACAGACCAGAGAGACAGACCAGAGAGACAGACCAGAGCGAGAGAGACCAAAAAGAGACAGACCAGAGAGAGAGACCAGCGAGACCAGAGAGAGAGACCAGAGAGAGACCAGATGGAGAGAGGCCTCACCCCTCTGCTGCTGCTGCACTTTAATCCTATTGTTAGTGACTTTCATAATACAGTCCGTCATAGTTTGGGTGGATGTGCATCTCCTGAACTGGGATCAGTAAAGTATCTAGTCTCAGTGAAAACGGGAGGTAAATGAAGTGCTAAAGTCTCACTGTGCTGCAACTCCAACAGGGCCTTGATGGTGGAGGCCGCAGACTCTCCTGGTGTCACCTCCTGGTAGATGATGGAGGGACTGGACTCCACAGACACCTCCTGCTCCGTCCACTCCGCCGCCTCCCGACCAGACACCATGTGGACCACGGCCTGGGCATCTGCGACACCAGCAACAACAACATGAGGAACTACATCTGTCCCAGCAGCTCACAGGCACCTAGCACTTTATACAGATATTGCACTTTACAGCACATTTGCACTGGGACTATTATTAGGATTTTGACTGTAGTTTGTTCATTGCTATTCACCCGTTGTCCCATTGTCTGTTTCATGGTACGATGACGGGATCTCTGAGCCTAGCCTCCTCCATCTACACCTGCGGACTGCCCTGCCCGACCCGCCTGGGAGTGCTTCAGTCCTGCACCCGACTTGTCAACGTTCAGCGGCCACTGGTCCACTTCCTGTAGCTAGCTTAGGTCCTAGATCATTAGCCTGTCCGTCCGGAGGAGCGGATCCCTTTCTCAAATGGGTCTCCCTCCCTGTGGGTTTCCCTAGTTCTCCCCAAGGTTTCTCACTTTTTCCCACTGGTTTTTTTTAAAGAGGTTTTCCTTGTCGATGCAGGAGGGTCTTGTTGGACAGTTAGTGTCCAACAGAAAGGATTGGTGATGATCCAGGACACTTTAGCATTCTACAACATGTATGGACATTTTCTTCTGTGTGTGCTTTATATTTTTCATGTGTTTTAACTGTTGATTCTCTGACCTGTGTTGGTGATTTTAATGGTTTTGTTAAGTCCTCTGAGATGACTTCTGTTGTGACCTAGGGCTATACAAGAATAAATGGTATTGTAATTGTATTGTATTGTACTTGCTTTTAACATCCTCTACATTTATACACAGTGCTCTCTGCTCCTCGCACTCTCTGCTCCTCGTGGTCCCTGTATGCTCCTCGCGGTCCCTGTAAGCTCCTCGCGGTCCCTGTATGCTCCTCGCGGTCCCTGTATGCTCCTCGCGGTCCCTGTATGCTCCTCGTGCTCTCTGTTCCTTGAGAGAGCTTAGTATTGTAGAGTCCAGACCCCAGAGTCCGGAGATTAGGAAGGGGAACTTTCCTCAAAGTTCTCCTTCCTAATCTCCACATGCTTTTAATTGCGGTCCTATAGATGATTTTCACTTTGACTGGGTTTCCCCAAAGCTTCCAGGGCTGATTACAGTCATTGTAAAAGACAAAGCAAAAGTACAACATGCGAACATTACCAGAAAACACCATAAACACCATCAGCTTTTCACTTTCACTTTCACTCCACTGATGCTGCAGTCCCACCACTTTTTAATGCCCTGTGAGATTTTAAAGATTATGCCTAGTCCCACAGGTGTTGGCTAGTTTTGATATAAGGACAGGACCCTCTGACCATATAAGGACAGGACCCTCTGACCATATAAGGACAGGCCCCTTGACCATATAAGGACAGGACCCTCTGACCATATAAGGACAGGACCCTCTGACCATATAAGGACAGGACCCTCTGACCATATAAGGACAGGCCCCTTGACCATATAAGGACAGGAACCTCTGACCATATAAGGACAGGACGCTCTGACCATATAAGGACAAGAGTGAGTTTGATTGACACACGCAGACTCGGGGCTCTGAGACCGTGCACACAGACCACAGAGGGACCACAGAGGGACCACAGAGGGACCACAGAGGGACGACAGAGACCACAGAGGGACCACAGGGAGACCACAGAGAGACCACAGAGAGACCACAGAGAGACCACAGAGAGACCACAGAGAGACCACAGAGGGGAACGTAAACTCTCTGGACAGGACTGACCCACAGCCTGTTCCTTACTAACTAAAAAGACTTTAACGTGTGTGCTTTAACGTGTGTACCTTGTGAGACAGTTGGAGCAGTGTCCACCTGCTGCCCTCCAGCCTCCGCCGCCGCAGCAGCAGCAGCAGCAGCAGCAGCAGCAGCAGCAGCAGCAGCAGCAGCAGGCTCCTCTCTGGATCCTCCTGGGTCCTGGCCTGGGTCCTGGCCTGGGTCTGCAGAGCGGGTCACCTGCTGGAGGCTCTCAGAGACCAGCTGTCGAGCCTGTTCACTCACCACCGCCGTCTGGAAGACCGGCTTGGGCTTGATCAGAACCTGGAACACACCACTGACCCTTAAACTATTACCTATAATCCTGGGTCTACAGCCTCAATCCTGGGCAGTGTTGGGCACGTTACTTTGAAAAAGTAATTAGTTATAGTTACTAGTTACTTCTCCCAAAAAGTAACTGAGTTACTAACGGAGTTACTCCACTATAAAAGTAACTAGTTACCAGTAAAAGTAACTATTGCGTTACTTTTTCGTTTTGTTCTGGAACATAATGTGCACCCGACGTGCGCATTTTTACCTTTAACCTCAGTGAGTCTGAAATAGTGCCAATATTTCCATCTAGAAAAGGCTGTTTTGCTGCTGAAGTCCTGTTCACTCTTCATCTCTCACTGTGCACTAAGCACTGAACACAAACACCCTCCACTGTGAATGTGGAAACACCGGTGACGAGCGGTGAGGCTGGTGAAGCACTGACTTCAGTCCAATCAGATGAACATATACATCATATAAATCAAGTGGACAATTTGTTTGGCTACAGCAAAATATGTTTTATGCCCGCATTGTTTGTTCATACAAAACGCAAAACTATGAGTTATGGGTCTTACCTTATAGCTATACCTTATAAATGACCTGCACAGTCCACTTCGGTTCAGACCAGTTCCTTGTTTAAATCCAGTTAATGGTTTGAGCGTAGATATGTAATCCTCCATTTGGAAATGAGTCCAATGAGTTTTGAAAAGTAAAACAAAACGCGTGTGTCCTCCATAAACTCCTGTGTTTTGCTAGCTGCAGCCGGGTGCATCCAATTTCTAAAATCAACCGTCTTACACTTCACCTCTCTTTCTTATCATTCCTATAGTAATTAAAAAATTATCCTATAGTAATTGAAAAATTATCCTATGTGCATTTTAGATTATGTAAAAATGTGTTATATGTATGTTAGCCAAACCTGTTGCTGTCTTTAGCAGATAAACCAGGAAGAGAAAGGAGCTTATCGATGGAATTGTATGAAGCCGACTTCTGTGCTCACATGCGCTCCTCTGAGGCTGACCTCACGGTGATACAAGCCGTGGTTGAGCGCGATTAAGACCCATATTTGTTTCAAAAACACAATTTATGAGCCATCCTCTCAACTGTAGACATGTGGATTGTAAAGGAAATATGTTTTACATCAGCCAATAATTGCTGAGAGGTTTTCTCATCCTCCCTTCTCTCATGACAACACGTTCATTGTGCGTCTTGAGTAACGCGCAGTAACGGGATGTCGGAAATGATAACGCCGTTATAGTTACTGTCAAAGTAATTAGTTAGATTACTCGTTACTGAAAAAAGTAACGGCGTTAGTAACGCCGTTATTCCCATCACTGATCCTGGGTCTACAGCCTCAGTCCTGGGTCTACAGCCTCAGTCCTGGGTCTCTGCTCCTTATGGTCTGTAGTGATCTAGGGCAGTGTCTCCCAAAGTGGGGTCCGCGGCCCCCTGGTGGGCCGCGAGGGTACTGCAGGGGGGCCGCGGGAGGTCATTAAAAAAAAATATATATATATATATAATTATTTAATGTTAAATTTATAATGTTTTGTTTGTAATATTAAAATATTTGTGTTCATTATTTGACTTGAATAATCCACTGTAATCATTTTTGTATTACAATGTTTGTAGCAGAGGCTATTTCCCCAAAATAAAATAACCAGAAGAGCCTATTCTTAATGTTGTCTTCTTGGTTATTATTTTGGGGGGCCACTCAGACCCGTCAGATTTTTAAGGGGGCCTCGGTGTTACTGAGTTTGGGAATGGCTGATCTAGGGCAATAGAAGAATAAACTGTTCCTCTTTACACAGGATGTAAAGTAGGTTTGGAGTGATACACACATAGTTCTGCAGTTACACACAGTTAAGTTCATCATGACAGTACGCACACAGACAATACTATGATTTAAAGAACTCCCATTACACATGAACACCCACGCATACACACACACACAAACACTTTACCAGTGGAAAGTATTCTGGGAATGTGACCTTTGCAGGGGATTTTCACACTCAATCAATTGTACCTGTTTATGTGGAGGCGTCATGACACAAACACTAAAGCAGAAGTGTGTTTGATTACACACACGCACGTACACACAGACACAGACCTGGTTCTTGCCCTGCTGTCCTCTGGCGTAGACACACACACACACCCTTGGGTCTTGCCCTGCTGTCCTCTGTCGTAGACACACACACACACACACACACACACCTGGGTCTTGTCTTGCTTTCCTCTGTCGTAGACACACAGAGACAGACACACATAGACACACACCAGGGTCTTGCCCTGCTGTCTTCTGACGTAGACACACGCAGACAGACACAGACACACACAAACACAGACAGACACACAGACACACAGACACACACCTGGGTCTTGCCCTGCTGTCCTTTGGCGTAGACACACGCAGACACACACAGACAAACCTGGGTCTTGCCCTGCTGTCCTCTGGCGTAGACACACACAAACACAGACAGACACACAGACACACACCTGGGTCTTGCCCTGCTGTCCTCTGGCGTAGACACACGCAGACACACACAGACACACCTGGGTCTTGCCCTGCTGTCCGTACACGATCTTGGTGGCGGTGGACTGGGCCCCAGATGTCAGGCCTTTGGGCTGAGTCACGATCATCTTTGTGATTGGTCGAGAGGCAGTGATGATGGCGGGTTTGGAGCCCTGTAAGGCCTGCAGGCTCTTCTCTCCCTACACACACACACACACACAAGACACAGGGTGGTTTGACGACTTTAGTTTTTCACTACTTTTGTTCAAATTAAGTGATTCTTATTCAGACAGAAGACTGAGGCACTCAAAAGTTGCAAAAATCTTTAAATCTTGGCAAAATAGGTTAAAATTACGCCTACGTGTAAGTGATTCTTATGTTTATTTTTTATCTTGAATCTATGCTAAAACCTGTGAATACTGAAATACTTCCTCTCTCAGTCTCTCTCTTGTTCATTGGCTAAGGTCTCATTGGCCCTTACGACACAGGACACTGGTGCCATCTAGTGGTTAGTTAGAGTACAAAGCTGTCCTCAGATCAGTGAGACTAATCCTTTAGTTTCAGCAGCACCGGCCCCTCACCTATGGATCTATTCATGTTCTGATCATAGTCAAGGCTGGGTGGTTTTGAAGGATATATTTGAATAAGATGCAGATGGAAGTGTTTAATGCACTTCATGTTGTTCAGTCTCACACATCTACATTTATTCATCTGTGTGGTCATATTATCCTATACTTTAGTTTAGCATCTGACCAGTGCATGTTGTGACTCTGTGAGGATGATGAAGTGCATCTAATCTCAGGGTCGTAGCTGAGGTGATGAAGATGATGATGAAGATGATGAAGATGATGAAGAGTGAGTCTGACCCCGGCGTTGAGCAGAGTGGTGACCACGTTCTTCCCGGGCAGGCCCTGGATGGTGGTTCCTTTCCCGGTGGTCTTCTGCACCACGATCACATTAGGCTTGGAGGTCATGGGGATGGTGGTGATCTTTGTGGTGGTCCCTGCAACACACACACATTATCAGAACACGCTCATTTTTTTGTGAACGTTGAACTGAACACAACACATTTTTTAATAAAGAACTTGAACGTGAATTAGTTGATATTATGTGTCATGAACGGCAGACATTTCTATAAACATTGGAATTTGTTTTCTCTTTTGAAACACAACGAGAGAAAGTTCCTCCCTCCTGTATTCTCCGCACTTATTCCGGCGAAAACTAAAAATTCCTACGGTGTTCACCGTCTGTGAACGCACCCCGACTCCGTGTTGAGCCCCCACATCCATGTGAGCCAGCCGGTGCGGCGCTGTATGCTAATGCATGGTTGTTGGACTGGCATGTGCCCGAGTCGTGATAACACAGGGTGATTCAGCGACACAGGACCACCCGTTTACATTTGACATAAAGTATAGACACACGCACTGCAGCGCATTACTGTTTGTAGTACTTATGAGCAGTGGCAACTCAGTTTTTTCCTCCCAATGTAAATCTTGTCTGTTTTAGAGTCAAAAGGTTCTCATCCTGTGCGGTGTAATTATATAAGATTATATATATATATATATATATATATATATATAAAATGTGATTTCTAGCTCGTAGTGTGAAAAAAAATATTTATTTAAATATCTCACAAAAAAAGTTAAATGAACTGAACTTTGAACTAGTTCAGAATTAAAAATGTTAACTTTGAACGTGAACTGTTCACTTTGAGCATGTATGAACTGAACTTGAACTAGTTCAGAAAAGCTGTGAACTGGCACATCACTGCCCATTATACAGATGTGGTCCGGGTTTACAGTGATCCAGACCAGATCAGAACACACCAGAGAGTCCCAACACACACCGGTGATACAGATGTTGTCCTGGTTTACACTGATCCAGACCAGACCAGACCAGAGTCCCAACACACACAGGTGATACAGATGTGGTCCTGGTTTACACTGATCCAGACCAGACCAGACCATGGTCCCAACACGCACAAGTAAAAAGGAAAGGATCATGTTTTAGAAATATACTAATGAAGCATTCAGAATTTCACTCTGGTTCTGACCATGTTCTCTGCTCTGGTTCAAACAGACTCTGCAGACATCAGAGGAAGCAGCGAGAGATACCAGAGATACCAGAGAGCGACCAGAAAAAGACCAGAGAGAGAGAGAGACCAGAAAGAGAGAGACTAGAGAGAGAGACTAGAGAGAGAGACCAGAGAGAGACCACAGAGAGACCACAGAGAGACCGAGAGAGAGACCATCACCTGCTGCTGCTGAACTTTATTACTATTGTTAGTCACTAGAATTGTTTTTAAGTATCTGTGTAGTGTGTGGTTGTGTAGTGTAGCGAGTATGTGTGGTTGTGTAGAGTGTGGTGTGTGGTTGTTTAGTGAGTGTGTGTGGTTGCGTGGTTGTGTAATGAGTGTGTGTGGTGGTATAGCGTGTGTGGTTGTGTAGCGAGTGGTTGTGGTTGTGTAGTGAGTGGTTGTGGTTGTGTAGTGAGTGTGTGTGGTTGTGTAGTGAGTGTGTGTGGTTGTGTAGTGAGTGTGTGTGGTTGTGTAGCGAGTGTTTGTGGTTGTGTAGCGAGTGTGTGTAGTGAGTGTTTGTGTAGTGAGTGTTTATGGTTGTGTAGTGAGTGGTTGTAAATCGGTGACCGTTTAACCGGTGGTTGACCGTCACAGCGTTAACCGGTCAAAGCTGTCGGTTAAAAAAAAGAAAAGGGGAGAGGGTCAGGTCTCTTAACAATCCTATTTTAAGCCTTCTTTGCACGGTGTGACGAGCGGGTCTGTCTCTAGCTGTGTGCGCCAATGTATCAGTAAACTCCGGGCCTACTCTAACACCGCACGCGCCACATATGCACGCACACATGCACACACGCGCGCATAGACACACACACACACACTTTTGATACGTAACATCCACACGTATCATCTCTCCCCTCTGTTACCGCCTGCTAGTTGCACACTGGCAGAACTACATTGGAGCTTATATTTACACACACACACACACACACACACATCTGTCTGTCACGCTCCTCTGTGTCAGGCAGCCCAAAGAATCCTTGCAAATACGCGGCTCCAGTCAAACCATATGGACCATGTTTGTGTTTATGGTCCTTGTCATTAGATCAGCTCCACACACATCACTTTTAAACTTTAGCGGAGACCTGCGAGACGCGTCGTTTGCTTAAAAATGCTTTAACCCGCAGCACAGCAGAATGGGAAGATTACAACAGCAGTTCTCTGTGCACAAAGGTGCCGAAGCTGTTGTGGGTTTTGGCGCCGCTGTCTCGGCTCTGATCCAGTAGAACGCAGAGCTGCACTTATGGAAAGAACAGGGTCTATTTTAAACTATGAGGTTAACCGGTTTCAACCGGTTAATGAGGCTCGGTGGTCGGTCATGAAAATTCATAGTTTTTTACATCCCTAGGAGTGAGTGTGTGTCGTGGTGTAGAGAGTGTGTGGTAGTGTAGAGTGTGTGTGGTTGTGTAGTGAGTGTGTGTGGTTGTGTAGTGAGAGGTTGTGTAGTGAGTGTGTGTGGTAGTGTGTGGTTGTGTAGTGAGTGTGTGTGTGGTAGTGTGTGGTTGTCTAGTGAGTATGTGTGGTTGTGTAGTGAGTGTGTGTGGTAGTGTAGTGAGTGTGTGTGGTAGTGTAGTGAGTATGTGTGGTTGTGTAGTGAGTATGTGTGGGTGTGTAGTTGTGTAGTGTGTGTGTATCTCCCCTCACCTGAGACGATGTTGCTGCTGATGATCTTTCCTCCGAACGTGGCCAGAGACTTGGGCACCACGGTGATGATGCTGCCGCTGGTGGTCTTAACGTAAGTGGCCCCTCCCCCAGAGGCAGAGAGCCGGGCCCCCAGGCTCTGGCTCACAGTGGGACGGGTGTATGTGGCCTGTGAGGCTGGGACAGGGACACAGGGTCTTACACTCCATACACCACTTTATCTCTATTAGTCAGCTGCAAATATGACTTGACCCCAAAAAATTCTAACAAAAGGTTTTTCAGTGGTTTACAGTAGTATCAGATGTACTTAAAAACATTAAAAGTTTACCAAAGTTTGACTCAAATAAAGGCCCCATTTTCAAAATGGCGGCCATCAGGTTCTTATATTGACAATTATTTCTTTGTATTTCTCCTAGACCAGGAATACTGGTGGCTGATATGTGTTTTAGTCATATCATATTCTAGTTAGTATATTTTCATGAAAAATCAGTGATTACAAGTACAATTAAATATGAAAGCAATTGGTTATAAGCATATGTATGCAAAAAAGAAGTCAAATTTCCCTTAAGAAATCCCATATTTCTATTTGCAGTTGTGGTAGGTTTGCATCTGACAGACGACATCAGCATATAGATGAGTCTGGCAATGACTACACACTTGGGGTAGGTCCAGTGTTGGGCACGTTACTTTGAAAAAGTAATTAGTTATAGTTACTAGTTACTTCTCCTAAAAAGTAACTGAGTTACTAACGGAGTTACTCCACTGTAAAAGTAACTAGTTACCAGTAAAAGTAACTATTGCGTTACTTTTTCGTTTTGTTCTGGAACATAATGTGCACTCGACGTGCGCATTTTTACCTTTAACAGTGCCAATATTTCCATCTAGAAACACCGGTGAAGCACTGACTTCAGCCCAATCAGATGAACATATACATCATATAAATCAAGTGGAAAATTTGTTTGGCTACAGCAAAATATGTTTTATGCCCGCATTGTTTGTTCATAAAAAACGCAAAACTATGAGTTATGGGTCTTACCTTATAAATGACCTGCACAGACCACTTCGGTTCAGACCAGTTCCTTGTTTAAATCCAGTTAATGGTTTGAGCGTAGATATGTAATCCTCCATTTGGAAATGAGTCCAATGAGTTTTAAAAAGTAAAACAAAATGCGTGTGTCCTCCATAAACTCCTGTGTTTTGCTAGCGGCAGCCGAGTGCATCCAATTTCTAAAATCAACCGTCTAACACTTCACCTCTCTTTCTTATCATTCCTATAGTCATTGAAAAATTACCCTATGTGCATTTTAGATTATGTAAAAATTTGTTATATGTATGTTAGCCAAACCTGTTGCTGTCCTTAGAAGATAAACCAGGAAGAGCAAGGAGCTTATCGATGGAATTGTATGTAGCCGACTTCTGCGCTCACATGCGCTACTCTGTGGCTGACCTCACGGTGATACAAGCCGTGGTTGAGCACGATTAAGACCCATATTTGTTTCAAAAACACAATTTATGAGCCATCCTCTCAACTGTAGACATGTGGATTGTAAAGGAAATATATTTTACATCAGCCAATAATTGCTGAGAGGTTTTCTCATCCTCCCTTCTCTCATGACAACACGTTCATTGTGCGTCTTGAGTAACGCGCAGTAACGGGATGTCGGAAATGATAACGGCGTTATAGTTACTGTCAAAGTAATAAGTTAGATTACTCGTTACTGAAAAAAGTAACGCCGTTATTCCCATCACTGGGTAGGTCATTGGTGAAGACAGAAAATAAAAGAGGTCCAAGGGTTGAGCCCTGTGGTACTCCTTTTTCCATGCTAGAGAGACCAGTTTGAACTATTAAAAACTACAAACTGTCGTCTATTGTGAAGATAAGCATTGAACCGAGAGCATTTCTACTGTGACCTATTGAGTAAAGTTTGTCCAAAAGTAAATAGTGGTCTACTAGATCAAAAGCATTGGAGAGATCAAGAAAAATGCCACCTGTGTACTGGTTATTATCAAAAGAAGGGAAAAGGAAGGGACAACATCCTCAGCTTGTTGTCCCTGAGGATGTTGGGGCGGATACTTCCATTCCCTGGCTGAAGTCACCAAGGTGGTTGGCAGCCTCCTTGGTGACAAGGCTCCGGGAGTGGATGAGATCCGTCCTGACTCTAAAGTCTCTGGATGTTGTAGGACTGTCTTGGATGACATGTCTCTGCAACATCGAGTGGCGCTCGGGGGCGGAACCAATAGAGTGGCAGACCGGGTTGGTGGTCCCTCTCTACCAGGGGTTAAAGCAAAAAAAAAAGATTTGACTGAAAATTTTTGCATGGAAATTTATCACATGTAAATCACAGTAATATGCAGGACCAAGTTATATTTTTAATTACAATATATTATTGTATAATAGATTGTATATTGAATACAGCTCAAATGAATTCTTCAAAGATATACAGTGTATTTTGATATGAAATATAAGTGGATCAAGCAACGAGTAAACTTTTTGACAGAATATTAGTGAGAGTAGCTTTACTTAAGGCGATATGGAGCGTCAACACTTTGGCTCTGTCCTCGTCAAAATATCGCAAAAGGACGATAAAATTCTGTCCACATTTGTTTGTGGACACGTCAATATTTAAGAAAAAGGTTTCCCTATCAAGTTTGAGTGCACAGTGCACTTCGATCAACTGCAAATGATTTAAATAAATCTACCAACGGTAGTGATATTCTGAACGTTATTTTCTGCGATAAAGCCACAGACACGGTCCGCCAGAGCAAGCCTAGTGTCAGTTGTGTTGCTGATGCACCAGGTAAAGATGAAGTGTGGGAAAGTGCACAAACAGCTGCCTTGTGCGCAGTTTTGAGCTGGTGGCGAATCAAAACCTTTTTCTCATTACTCCCATATATGCAATTTTTTATGGCAAAGTACGCACAAGCACCGGCCACTCTCATCTTTTTGCACCATGACTCGTTGATTGGCTCTTTTAAATCACGCTGAGTTTTGCAAGAAGGTCGCAAACATGACAATATCAAAAGCTCACCAAGACATGTTTGTCCCCATTCCCAGTTGCAGCAAAGTCCGTTTTGTACATTCCGTTAAGTAAAATAGCATTGCGTTTGGTAAACGTTAATTACCTTTCCTCTATTACGCGCCCAGCTTACCAGTCCGCGGATCTGCTGCTGTTATTGCTCCGTTCGAGATTCAATTTTCCTCCTCTTCTCCTTTTCAAAAGCTCGGTGCAGTTTCCAGAAACTTTCACCTCCGTGTTACCAATGCTAACTTCATCGCGTCTTCATTTGCGCGTGAGCTCAGCTACGTCCCATTGCCTTGATTCATTTGCGGAGCGCTCATGTGGCCACGGCACGTTCAAGGCCCACTCGTCATTATATTACTTATTATTTCTATATACATATAAATACAATTATATTCAAATTATTATTATACATCGATATATATATAACAGATTCACACGTATATGTATTACTATATATTATTTTTATAATCAATCATTTCATTGTGTGTATTATTATCATTATATATATATATATTATTTTTTATTTTTTTCCAGACCAATTTCATTTGACGGAAATCCGTCACCTAGACGGAACTCTTTAATCCCTGCTCTCTACAAAAAGGGGGACTGGACCATGGGGGGGTTTTCCAGTTATTGTGGGATCACATTCCTCAGCCTCCCTGGTAAGGTCTACTCCAAGGTACTGAAGAGGAGACTTCGACCGATGGTTGAATCTCGGATTGAGGAGGAGCAGTGTGGTTTTGTTCCCGGCTGCAGAACACTGGATCAGCTCTATACTCTCCATCGGATACTCGAGGGTTCATGGGAGTTCGCCCAACCAGTCAACATGTGCTTTGTGGATTTGGAGAAGGCATTTGGCCGTGTTCCCCAGGGTGTCCTTTGGGGGGGGTTCTCCGGGAATACTCCGGGGTCCTCTGCTGAGGGCCATCCGGTCCCTGTATGACCGGAGCCAGAGCTGTGTTTGCATCAGCAGTAAGTCAGACCTGTTCCCGGTGCATGTTGGCCTCCGCCAAGGCTGCCCTTTGTCACCAGTTCTGTTCACTGTCTTTATGGACAGAATTTCTAGCTGCAGCCAGGGGTTGGAGGGGGTCCGGTTCGGATACCACAGGATTTCATCTCTGCTGTTTGCGGACGATGTTGTCCTGTTGGCTCCAACGAACCAGGACCTGCAACATGCACTGGGACGGTTTGCAGCCGAGTGTGAAGCGGCTGGGATAAGAATCAGCACTTCCAAATCTGAGGCCATGGTGCTCGACCGGAAAAAGGTGCCTTGCCCTCTACAGGTGGGTGGAGCAGTCCTTCCTCAAGTGGAGGAGTTCAAGTATCTCGGGGTCTTGTTCACGAGTGAGGGAAGGATGGAGCGTGAGATTGACAGGCGAATTAGTGCAGCATGCGCAGTGATGCGGTCGCTGTATCGGACCGTTGCGGTAAAGAGGGAGCTGAGCCGAAAGGCAAAGCTCACCATTTGCCGGTCAATCTTCGTTCCCTCCCTCACCTATGGTCATGAGCTTTGGGTAATGACCGAAAGAATGAGGTTGCAGATACAAGCGGTCGAAATGAGCTTCCTACGCAGAGTGGCTGCTCCCTTAGAGATAGGGTGAGGAGCTCAGTCACACGGGAGGAGCTCGGAGTAGAGCCGCTGCTTCTCCACATCAAGAGGAACCAGTTAAGGTGGCTCGGGCATCTGTTCCGGATGCCTCCTGGACGCCTCCCTAGGGAGGTGTTCTGGGCGGGTCCCACCCCGAGGAGGCCCCTGGGAAGACCCAGGACATGCTGGAGGGACTATGTCTCTCAGCTAGCCTGGAAACACCTTGGGGTCCCCCCGGACGAGCTAGAGGAAGTGTGTGTAGATAGGGAAGTCTGGGCATCTCTGCTTAGACTGCTGCCCCTGCGACCCGGCAATGGATGAAGCGGACAAAAATGGATGGATGGGGAAACATCATTTGTAAATTTAAGTAGTGCTGATAATGAAATGTAACTTAAGTTATCATTTTGGTAAATCATATGTGGCTATATGCTGAATGCTCTGTATTGTAATCCACTTTAGCTCCAGCAAAACTCCGGGAGGTCTGGGGAGCTCATATGTTAAACACCAGAGGAAGCAGTCTTTGTTTACGCTAATTTGGAGTGTCTTTTGTTGTGTTGGTTTCTTCCTTTCCTATTCTGCATACGAAGGTGTGTCTTGTTCAAAAAAAAAGGGGCTTGCCATCTGTGAATCTTCAGACTTGTCCTGAGAGAGGCTAGGATCTGTGCCTTGCCTCTGTCAAGACATTCTCCTTGTATAATGTAACAAGTAAAAGATTAACTTTGTCTCTTTGTTGTGTGAGATTTCATCAGGTTCAACTGTAGTTGAAACAGCATTATCAAGTGCCTTGGTAGTTGAGTAGCCAGACTGGAAGCCTGACTGATGGGGAGATGAGATGTTAAAGTTACAGTTGGCGGAAAAATGATCTTTTACATTATTTTAGTGATAGTGCATATAATAGAGATGGGCCGATAGTAACTTACATCGGAGTGGTCTTCACCTTTAAAGATGGGAGCTGCAGTTTTCCAGATGAGAGGGACAGAGCACGTACTTCGTGATAGGTTAAACAGGTCGGTTAGCGGATAGATAAGCACACTGGATCCCAATAAAAGGTATTTTACTTGTTAGGCGTCTGGACCAGCCGCACTGTTAGTTTTAAGCTAGTTTATAGCTTGTATTGCATCCAATTGTGAAATCTGATTAAAAGAAAATGATGTCTCAGGAACAACGTCAATTAGTGGAGTAGGTAAGTATGGATGACCAGAGTGCTGTGTACTACTTATGTAAGTAAGTAAGTACTTACTTACTTACTACTTATGGAGGAGAAATATTCATTAAAGCATTCAGAGATTAAGTTAAGATCAGTAATGGTAGTATTATTAACAGAAACATGATTGGTTGAGTTTCTTTTGGACCGACCCAGAAGCTGGTCCAGGTGTTTCCAAAATTGTTTAGGATTATTGTAGTTCAGACCGAGGGCTTCCTTATAGTAATAGGGCTTGGTCTTCCTAGTTTGGGTTTTGGATGGATTCCTGAGTTGTCTATAGATCTCCCAGTCGTTAGGGTCCTTAGACTCTCTGTACTTAGTTCAAGCTTGGTCTCGATGTTTAAAAAGATTAATGAAATCAGAGCTAATCCATGGAAGATGCCGTCCTTTTACGCAAATAGTTTTAAATGGGGCATGTTTATCAATTAAGGACTTCAGAATGGTTCACCCCAAAGATAAAACCTTACAGTAATATCACAAAATCAAGTATTCCAAAAGTATGTAATAATCTCAGTGAAATTTAGACAAGTCCAATGGATTCATAGACCCAGAAAACATGGGGTTAGACACCAAGATTACTTGGCTAGGTCAAATATTGAACGAGTTAGGATATGTTAAGGGGTTCCTGCCCATCTTGGACGCCATCTTGAAAATTACGCTTTTCTAGTGGTCAAACTTTGGTAAACTGTTAGTATGTTATTAAGGGCACCTAATACTACAAAAAACTTCTGAGAAACCTTTTGTTAGAATTTTTTTGGGGTTAGGTGGTTTTTTTTTATATATGCAGCCGCCTATATATCTTTATCCTCTTTAACTGTGGCCATTTATGATTCTAACCCATGTAAGGGTTTTCATTCACGATTGTATTTGTGGTGTAGTACACAGGTGTGGTGCACAGGTGTGGCGCACAGGTGTGTCTCACAGGTGTGTCTCACAGGTGTGTCTCACAGGTGTGTCTCACCGGTGGGCTGCGTGACCAGCTTGGTGGTCATGATGGCGCCGTTGCTGCTAACAACCATGATGGGGGCGGAGCTGCTGCCAGACAGGCCCACAGACGAGGGTTTGGGCAGAATCTTAGACGGCTGCATCTGCTGCGTGATGATCTTTACCCCTGAGAGTGTGAGACAGAGAGTGTGAGACAGAAACAGTGAGTGTAAGACAGAAACAGACAGTGAGTGTGAGACAGAGACAGATGCAGAGAGTGTGAGACAAAGACAGAGGCAGAGAGTGTGAGACAGAGACAGAGACAGAGAGCGTGAGACAGAGACAGAGAGAGTGAGACAGAGACAGAGAGAGTGAGACCGTACCTGACTCCTGCTTGATCTGGATGGTGGGTTTGGCTCCTGGGGAGGAGGTGGCCCCTGGGCTCTGGCTCACAGCAGTGGCCCCCACAGAGGTCTGCTGCAGCTGCTTTGGGGACTGCTGTTTGGGGAGATGGGCCAGGATGTGGGAGGTCTTTGGAGAAGGCAGGCGAGCTGTGGCCACCTTCACCCCGGCAGACGAGCCCGCTACACACACACACACACACACGCGTTAGCAATGTTCAAGTCCCCTGATGGATCTGTGGTCTGAGCAGAGCCTGCAGAGCCTTTGATATGACCATTGTAACCATTACAACATGTGAAGAATATATTGTTTCAGTTAGAATTTACCATCCAGAAAACTAACGATTAGGTTTAACACATGATGAAAACCTGCAGAAAACTTTCATAATGGTTCTATTTTACAGTTTTCATCTCGCTGCTCTGTAGTTTGGTAAAATGGTTTTGTCAGAGTCACTGGATGTGTGTGGTCTGTGTGTTTATAAAGAAACATTGTATGATTTTCTAAACAGACTAGGGATGTAAAAAACTATGAATTTTCATGACCGACCACCGAGCCTCATTAACCGGTTGAAACCGGTTAACCGCGTAGTTTAAAATAGTCCACGTTCTTTGAAATAACAGCCATTTCGAGCCACGTACTTTTCATAAGTGCAGCTCTGCGTTCTACTGGATCAGAGCTGAGACAGCGGCGCCCAAACCCGCAACAGCTCCGGCACCTTTGCTTTTTTAATCTTCCCATTCTGCTGTGCTGCGGGTTAATACCAAAACTTTCTAGCAGCAAACGACGGCTCGTTCACATGGTCAGAGCAGCGAGTGACGAGCCGCGTCTCACAGGTCTTCACAAAAGTTTAAATACAAGTGATGTGTGTGGAGCTGATCCCGAGGACCATAAACACAAACATGTTCCATGTGGTTTGACTGGAGCCGTGTATTTGCGCGAATCCTTTGGGCTCCGTGAGACAGAGGAGCGCGACAGACCGGTATGTGTGTGTGTATGTATGTGTGTATGTATATGTGTGTGTGCGTAAATGTAAGCTCCAATGTAGTTCTGACCCGCGCCAGTGTGCAACTTTGACGGTAACAGAGGGGAGAGATGATGCGTGTGGATGTTACGTATGGAGAGGGGGAAAGAGTGTGTGTGTGTGTGGATGTTACGTATGGAGAGGGGGAAAGTGTGTGTGGATGTTACGTATGGAGAGGGGGAAAGTGTGTGTGGATGTTACGTATGGAGAGGGGGAAAGTGTGTGTGTGTGTTACGTATGGAGAGGGGGAAAGTGTGTGTGGGTGTTACGTATGGAGAGGGGGAAAGTGTGTGTGGATGTTACGTATGGAGAGGGGGAAAGTGTGTGTGGATGTTACGTATGGAGAGGGGGAAAGTGTGTGTGGATGTTACGTATGGAGAGGGGGAAAGTGTGTGTGGATGTTACGTATGGAGAGGGGGAAAGTGTGTGTGGATGTTACGTATGGAGAGGGGGAAAGTGTGTGTGTGTGTTACGTATGGAGAGGGGGAAAGTGTGTGTGTGTGAGTGTGTGTGTGTGTGTCTCGTGAGAGTCGTCCCGGAGTTTATAATACATGGGCACACACAGCTAGATACAGACCCGCTCGTCACACCGTGCAAATAGGGCTTAAAATAGCGTTGTTAAGAGACCTCCCCTCTCCCCGTTTTCTCTTTTTTAACCGACAGCTTTGACCGGTTAACGCTGTGAAGGTCAACCACCGGTTAAACGGTCGTCGATTTACATCCCTAAAACAGACCAATAATCCCCTGATGACGTCCACTGAGAATCTGTTGTTGTGATTTTGAGCTGAACCAAAATAAAGTGCACATTTATTTATATTCCCAGATAAAAATGAAAAAAATGCTTCTGTGTGTTTGTGGTCAGATCACAGACACCTACAGCTTTTACAGGAGACAGATTTTGTAGTCATTTAGAAACCCATCAGCACCATGGGGCATGTTATGTCTTAGTTTAGAGGTTAGCAGCTAACGGCTAACTCTGAGCCTACAGCCGAGAGAGGAGGCACGTGAACATGTGTTCAGTTACAGCATTACTCACATGGGGCCATGGTGGACATGAGCACAGGGGGGGCAGAGGACACTACTGTCGTCACGGCGACGGTGTGGGCGGGGCTGGAGGGGAAGACCACCGTCTGCTTGTGAGTGGGAGGGGTCAGGATGGACGTGGCGCCCAGCTTGGACATGGTGGCGCCGCCGTGAGACTTGGACAAGATGTTTGGGACGAAGCCGGAGCTCGGAGACGTGGTCACAATGATCACCTGAGGGGACGCACACATGACGCCCACAAGACGCACACATGACGCACACACGACACACATGCATTTTGTCACAATATTGTTTCAACCATGTCCCATTTATTCTGGACGATAATCCCCTTTTTACTAGTTATTTAAACCCTGATGTTATAGCACCTCACAAAGCACTTTACAATAGTTGTTACATTCGTCTCGGACTCCACAAAGAGCTGGAGCAGGTCTCCTACAGGATTGTTTTTAGTGGTAGGGAAACCGGAGCACCCGGAGGAAACCTACAGAACACAGGGAGAACATACACCATGCCTGGAGGTGGAATCGAACCCAGGACCTTCTTGCTGTTAGACACAAGCACTAACCACAACAACTTAAATACTGATGCGGCTAAAATGTGGAGTGAGACTATTTTGGCATCAAGTTTTTTCAGAATTCAGTTCATTCGAATACGAACAGTCAAAATGACTGCTCTTGTCCTTTCATACTGCTGGTAGGGTTCTCATCTTAAAGACCTTATGACGGGTTTGATTTATTTAGAAATACAGTTTTAATACCATTTTATATTAGAAGAGAACTACTAAAGGTTTCAAAATCAGTTGTTGTTTTTTTTGTCTGATCCCCCCAAATCAAAATAACCCCATAGCAACGCCCTTAGAAACGAAAAAACTTCACAGCCCTTGGTGACGTCAGAACGGGTACGTTTAATGCTGTAAGTTGTTTACAATTTGGTATTCGTTCTTTTTTCGTGGATATTCAAGATGACAAGGCCGTGTACAGCGAGTCTAAGATAACTACTAGAATATATCATCTCGTTGTAACTGAGATAGTCCAGTGGTTGTGTCGATGGACTGCCAATCCAGATACTTGGGTTCAAATCCCGCACCGGACACTTTTTCACACTCAAAACGGCAATTTATGTGTAGTGAGCAATTGTCACCTGTAGAGTGCAGTATTGTGTTGGGCATCAGTGGAGAGAAGAGAGAAAAGGCATAGATCCATGGTTTTCAATGCATGGGCGTAACCCGCTATGACGTCACACACAGGTTAGAGCATAGACAACTTGAATTCATGAAACCCACGTTCTTTTTATAAAATATAGGATTTTTTTTGCCGGAATCTATTTCAAATTGACATTGTCATGCAATTTTTTTTTTAAAACCCGTCATAAGGTCTTTAATGACTGTGAAATGGCAAAGGTTAATCCAAGGTCTCTGGGCCCCTCTGTAGCATGAGGGTGAAGGCCTGAATGTGTGACATCACCTTCTGCGTGGTGGAGTTGCTGGTCTGGAGGGCGGGTTTGGTGAAGGTGATCTTGACGGGGGAGAGGTGTGGGGGGAGGGAGTTGGCGATACTCTGCATGATGTTGCTCATCTTGGGGCTGCCGCTCACAGGGACACTGATGCTCTTGGAGGAGGAGGAGGAGCAGAGGGGAGGAGAGCTCTTGCACACCTCCTTCAGCACCACAGGAGGAGAGCTAGACGAGTTTGTCCTCCTGCGCTTACGGGGCTTCTCATCCTCGTCCGAGCAACTCACACCTACAGCAGGGGAGGGGGGGGGAGTGCAGGGGAGAGGAGAGAGGAGAAGGGAGAGGAGAAGGGAGAGGAAAGAGGAGGCGAGAGGAGGATTGAGGAGAGAGGCAGCACCATTAGATCAACATTATTCACACTTTGGTGGCATTAACAGAACCTTCTCTGCGGCTGGAAGGTGCTGGACTCACTCTTGACGTAGACCGTGCTCCCGCTGGGCAGAACCACCACGTTAGAGGAGGGGCTGGCAGGCCGGGGGGGCTTCACTGCGGTCCCCATCACTGCTCCAGGGGCCGTGGCACAGCTAGGGGTCCCTGTGGTGCTGGTGTACGAGTAACACACCACCACTGAGAGAGAGAGAGAGAGAGAGAGCGAGAGAGACAGAGACAGAGAGAGAGAGAGAGAGAGTCAGAGACGAAGAGAGAGTGAGTGAGAGACAGAGAGAGAGAGAGACAGAGGTAGAGAGAGAGTGAGTGAGTGAGTGAGAGAGTGAATGACAGACGCACACAGAGAGAGAGAGAGAGAGAGAGAGTGAGTCAGAGACAGAGAGGAAGAGAGAGAGTGAGAGAGTGAGAGAGTGAGTGACAGAGAGAGAGAGAGACAGAGAGAGTGAGAGACAGAGAGAGTGAGAGACAGAGAGAGACAGAGAGAGAAAGACACAAAGAGAGAGACACAGAGAGAGAGCCAGAGAGAGAGTGAGAGTGACAGAGACAGAGAGAGAGACAGAAAGAGAGAGACAGAAAGAGTGAGAGACAGAGAGAGAGTGAGAGAGAGAGACAGAGAGAGACACAGAGAGAGAGAGCCAGAGAGCCAGAGAGAGTGAGAGTGATAGAGAGTGAGAGTGACAGAGACAGAAAGAGAGACAGAGACACACTACAGTGAACAGGGATATCATTCCAAACTGTGACTAATGTTGGTCCTTCCTGTGACATTATGGAAAGATAAAAAGGCAGAAACAGACGAGGAAACAGAGGGTCCACTAAAGACATTTGACCAATAACAATATAACCACAAGGTCTCTTCTTTATAATCAGGGGTGCACATAACTTTTTCAGTGAGGTACTCAGATGAGTACCAGGACATGGTGTTTGGTACACATTTGTCGCGCGGTTCTTAAAAGAGATTTTATACTCAGATAATCCACTCAATCCAAGTCAATTAACCCATTAAGGCCTGACAAACCTGATAAAACAGACCTTTAAAACCGATGGCTGACTTTAGAGCCACCCTCCAAAACTTGAGGTTTTCCTGAAATTCAACGTCTACAGAATGACTGATATCTCGGCCTCTGGAGCAGATTAGCAAGAATTTGAGAGCTGACACTTGTCAATACAAAATCAGTGTATTATTATAAACCTTAAATAGAATAATAAAAAAAATATACTAGACTAACACATGTTTCTCAAAACAATAAGTCAAAAAGAGTTTGGCAATAAATTGGCACTAACTATGTGGAAAATAATTATTTAAAAAATCCACTCTTGGCCCAAAAAGTCAAATAATGATTCACAGGGCTCTTTCTTAAGTAAGCAAAAATAAATAAATAACAGGACTGTTTTGATTTGTTCTGTTTGATTTGGTCACAACATTTTACTTTTGTGCTCAAATAACATGCATTGTCAATGCAGGCGAAAATTTAGGTACCTGAGCTTTAAGTCAGTGAGTTTTGGCTGCGCTTAGTGTGGAGACTTGGGGGAGACGTGGGCGAGGCATGGGGGAGAGACAGGGAAGAGACAAGGGAGACAGGCAAGACCCGCACGTGCAACAACCTGCAGATGGTCCTGTAGCGCGTCAATGGTTCTGTGCGCGCGTCTATGGTCCGCGCTCGGTACATGACCACACGCGTTTGCTGAGCTGTCAAAGCGGCCAAAGTTTCTCCCGGGGTCAGAACGGAGGATGTTATTGCACCGCGCCCCACTATTTGAGAAGGACTGGTCCATGTGAAATACGCAAAAGCGTTTCCTAACTCAAGTGATACGCATTTCTGATATTTGTCGCGCATGCGTACCTGCGTACCACTTATGTGCACCCCTGTTTATAATCCAGTCTCAAGCACTAGCCATGTGCAATATCCTTCTTAATCTGCACTAGTACTTTAGTCACGTACATGTACTTGCTTTTTGTGTAAATACTGTTTTTGATTGTGGTCTTTTCCGGCCTTTTCAAGTGTTTCCTTGCACTGATGGACTGTGCAATGTTGTGGCATATCCTGGTGTTGGTATTGCACACACTATTGTCCTGAAGCCGAGTGTGTGTTGGTATTGCACACACCATTGTCCTGAAGCTGAGTGTGTGTTGGTAATGCACACACCATTGTCCTCAAGCTGAGTGTGTGTTGGTATTACACACACTATTGTCCTGAAGCTGAGTGTGTGTTGGTATTGCACACACCATTGTCCTGAAGCTGAGTGTGTGTTGGTATTGCACACACCATTGTCCTGAAGCTGAGTGTGTGTTGGTATTACACACACTATTGTCTTGAAGCTGAGTGTGTGTTGGTATTGCACACACCATTGTCCTGAAGCTGAGTGTGTGTTGGTATTGCACACACCATTGTCCTGAAGCTGAGTGTGTGTTGGTATTGCACACACCATTGTCCTGAAGCTGAGTGTGTGTTGGTATTGCACACACCATTGTCCTGAAGCTGAGTGTGTGTTGGTATTGCACAAACTATTGTCCTGAAGCTGAGTGTGTGTTGGTATTACACACACTATTGTCCTGAAGCTGAGTGTGTGTTGGTATTGCACACACCATTGTCCTGAAGCTGAGTGTGTGTTGGTATTGCACACACCATTGTCCTGAAGCTGAGTGTGTGTTGGTATTGCACACACCATTGTCCTGAAGCTGAGTGTGTTTTGGCATTGCACACAATGTTGTCCTGAAACTGAGTGTGTGTTGTGCGCCTCACCTTCTTTGTTCCCGGTCTGAGCAGGCAGCAGGAGTGTGGCGTTCTGATTGGCTGTGGCACTGGCCACGGTGTTGGCAGAGACCGTGAAGGCCGTCTGAGGGACCAGTCTGGGCATGAGTGGGACCAGGCGCCGCCCCTCGATGGACCACTCAGAGGAGCTGCTGAGGCCGGACATGCTGCAGACACATGGGCCGGGTCAGACAGAGCAGGCTGCCTGAGATACAAGGGCTGTGTGGTTCTATGGAGAAAAGACAGACACACACACACACAGACAGAGACACACACACACACTCACTGATGAGCGATGGTAGTGAGGCGCTCATCGTTCACAGCTCTCCGCACTTCTGCTCGATGACGCTCTGTTGAAATCCTGCCATTGAAGAAAGAGACATGTTCACATTAGACACATTTGTTTTTTTCATTGCAAATCTCGACATTGCAAAAGTCTGTTGCATATTTCCTTATAAATACACCTTAGTAACAATTCTTAATAACAGAAATATAAAAACACTGCATACGTGTGCATTCAATCATAATAAACCCAAAACACAGTTTGGAAAGTGTCTTGCCTAAGGACACAACCACAGTTTAACCCTAACGCGTTCCCACTGTGGAACCTGGTGTTCCCAGAGGTCTCCTATCATAGTACTAACCAGACCCTGCCCTGCTTAGCATCAAAGGTCTGAGGGATCTGGCTTTGCAAGTTTGGCCACAATGAAACAAGAAGCACATGTAGCTGTAAGGACCATCTCCATCTGAACCATCTGAACCATCTGAACCATCTGAATCCTCTCTCCCTCTCTGGTCCATGTTTTACCCGAGGATCTTGGTGAGCTCTGCCAGCAGATCCTTCTTGTCCTTGGTGAGATCTCCTTGGGCTCGTAAGGCACTGATGACCCCAGCGTAGGCCTCCAGCTCTGAGGACACAGTCAGGTCGAGGTTAAAAGCAGTAAAACCACAGTGGAATACATGTGCAAGAGTCTCCAGTGTCAGAACATTCATAAGTACAGAATACAAATGTCAGTGTGAAATAGATCAACCATAAGAGTCAAAGGGATATCAAAGCCATACCCAGTTTGCGGAGGATCCTTTTGCACTCGTCTCGGCCCAGGTCCAGGAGGGTGGGCCACACCACAGGCATGGTCCCCGGCACCAGGGGCTTCTCCAGCTGAATCATGAGCTGCAGGACACAGACTTTACTACGGAACAGTAAGGTGTAGAATAAAGTGCTTCATAGAGCCACCAGCCAGAAACCATACTGTATCACAATATGTTAAGAATCACAATAATTATGAGGAACTGCCCAAATATTGTAATACTATTGGAATCCTCACATTTGCCAATTCCCACCTGTACAAAACAGGCAACATGGAAACACTTAAATAGACTAAAAAGGAATTGTAGAGTAGAACAGTTCTAGACAGTAAATACACTTTCACTTAATACATAATTGTTTTGTGCAGAAAATGGATTGTTAAACATCAAACGGTCAGATCTTGATCCCAGGAATTAGAAAACAAAAGCCTTTGAGTCTTATTATTATTATTATTATTTTACCTTTGGGACAAGAACCATTTAAAAACAAAACACATAACAATAAAGCAGGTGTAACTGAAGGGAATCTTTTTCTATTTTTTACAGGTTTTCTTATTCTCTCCTGTTGATTTGTCTGTTGTCCTAATGCTGCAGGCCTTTTACCAAGCATTCATATCTCACCACATCATTCCATTTTATAAAAACCTAAAGTCTGAAATCACTGTTCCTCGCTGCACACTGATGCTCCAGGTGAACACAAACATGCAAATAGTAACAGCTGGATTGTGCTGTTAAAGCAGAGTAGGAGCTAAGTCAGGGATGCTGCAGCAGCTTTGTCAGAGAATCAGCGCTGGTTTTAGCCTGTTATTGTTACACATGACGTCACCTTGATGCACAAACTCCAATAAAAACACAGGTGTAAGTACACAGCTGTAGCCACAGGATCAATGACACCTGGACACACACAGACACACACAGAGTCATGCTGATGTCTGAAAGCTGTCACCTTTGCACTGGAGCTAGCACACTTAGCACTGGCTACAAACCTGGGAGGAAGAAAACTGATTATTATTTTTGGACCACGACACTTCAGGGCCCTGGACAGGTTCCTACAGCCGCGTTCCGAGCCCACATGCCGGGCTGTCAGCGCCTCTTCATGGTCTGTCCTGGATGTAAGCGGTGGAAGCAAAAAAGTAAAGAGAAACGTCGGCTTCACTGTGTTTATATGAGGAGCTAACTGAAGCTAACAGATGCTAACGTATGCTAAAGGAGGCTAACTGTGCGTCCTGCTCACTGCTGCCATCTAGAGGCGGAGAGGGCACTTGCAGGAGGAGGGTGTGCTGCACTGCGCTTTCCTGAGGGGGGCGCTGTTGTCAGGCTTTTTAACACTAGGACTCACGCCAACCATGAATCTATAATAACTAGAACTGCCAAAGTCGTTCCATTCAAACCAATAGAAATCCGAGAAATTCACCCAAAAATGTTCAGTTGTTTTTAATGAACCAGGTAATGTTTTCAAACACTAGTTTTCTCACTTTAAAAACTGTCAATTCACCAACACAGATCAGAGAATCAAACAGTTCACACACAGAACATGTAATGATAACAAACACGTGGGTCCATAAAGGGCAGATGTTAATAAACGTTCTAAAATGTCGTTGAGTGTCCCGGACCATCTCTAAAAACCCAGAAAAGTGAAAAACCTTTATCTTTCCGCACGGCCCCTGAACGCAGCAGTTCGGTGGGCTTCCTCTGCAGTTCGCACACTTTTGTTGGGGTGGGGACGTTTCCTCTCCCCCCCTCCCTGCCTCCCCCTTCTGTTCTCCCCTCTGCACACAGGCACAGAGCGGAGAGCTTTTTACACACGCTTACCCAGGCGGACCCAGGCAGACCCAGGCGGACCCACGCAGACCCAGGCAGACTCGCAGCAGCTGGGGATGCTCTCTGCACGGGCGTGAGTCTTGCTTCCAGCCCGCTCTCGCAGTTCCAGGACTGGGCGGAGGATGTGTTGCGTCGCGTTTGCAAAGTTCCAGGGTTGTTTTGTCCTCGGTCCGGGTCGTCGCTCCCAGGCCTGATTGGTGAAAGTTTGGAGCCGAAGAGGATAAGAGGAGGAGCCGCAGAGAGGGGCCCATCATGCGGTAAAAGTTCTGTATCTGCGGGAGAGAGACGGCGCTGGGCCAATGAGCGGCTCACAGGCCACGCTCGCGGACAGGTAACCCAGAGCAGTCACTTTGACGGGTTTGGGTTTGGGAAGTGTAATTACTCATCTCATGTTTATTCTTGGTTTCCGTAACTTTACTCCAGACTTTTGCTGTTTCTGTTTGTAGTTTACTTCAATGTCATTACTTTCATTAAATTATCTTTTACATTAAATGAGAGCAGTGCTTGTTACCATAGCAACACTGTCGGAAGTTAGCATCAGCCTTGTTTTTGTTGTGACTCAGTTATCAAGTGATAATGACCAGTTTTAGCACTTACTAAACGTGAGTAAATGTAAAAACATTATTCTCATTTCATAAATCTGGTGAAGAACGAATCATTCTTTTGGGGAAATTTCTCAGAATTCTCTTGGTTTGAATAGAGCAGTCAGAATGACGGCTCTGGGAGATGGGAGTCCTGAAACTACAGAACTCCCGGACCCGTCATTCTGACTGCTCTATTCATCCATCCATCCATTTTCTACCCTTTAATCCATTTCTGGGTCAGGGGGGTGGCAGTCAGAGATGCCACCCAAGTCTCATAGCACCAGCCCCTCACTGACCCTCTGCAGGTGGTGAGTCCACAGGAGTCTATTCAAATAAATCGAATTATTTAAAGTCTGAGTTTATCTTCAGTTTGATTAAAATTTACCTTTACTCACTTTTAATGAGTGGGAAAAATGATAAAAAAAAAACTGAAATATAGTGTGTTTAATTTGGGCGTTCTGCTCTCCCAAAATTTCATCCACTGAGCGGCGCTGTGATCAAAAAATGACACCGTTTGTTGCCCAGTTCACTTCCGGTTGATTTTATACAATGGTGAATATGGCTCACGAAAACAACAAACGATTGACAGTGCCTGAATTGAGTGAAAGGTTGAAGCGAAAGGGTATTTGCAGTGTGGGAAAACGAAAGGAGGAATTGTTGTTGCTAGTTCAACGAGCGGATGGTGTTTATGAAGATTTAGAAGAAGATGACAGCGAGCAGAGTGAACGAAAACGGCTGTGTGTGCGAGTGACAGATGGTAACAATGAGAATGAAGTTCAGCTAAGAGGGAAGAATGTGAATTGGACGGATGATTTGCGCGATATGCCACTAGTTAGAGACGGGAATGTATTTGCATAATGTAAAATGACGAAAACACTCAACCATTTAGAGAAAATGCGCCGGGCAGAGAGAACCGGAAGTTGCGAAGGCGAGTGTTACCCATAATGCAACGCAAAATTCAGTCGCTCCCCCGCCCATCGGATGGAATTTTGGGAGAGCAGAACGCCCGAATTGTAATACTAACTGGTAACGCTAATGCTAACTGGTAACGAGAATGCTAACTGGTAACGCTAATGCTAACTGGTAACGCTAATGCTAACTGGTAACGCTAATGCTAACTGGTAACGCTAATGCTAACTGGTAACGCTAATGGTAACTGGTAACGCTAATGCTAACTGGTAACGCTAATGCTAACTGGTAACATTGATGCTAATGCTAACCTTAATGCTAACTGCTAACATTGATTCTAACTGGTAGCAAGTTAACAGTATCTTGCTATGGTTACTCTACTTCGCTCCATTTCAAAATGAAAAGATATTTCCAAAAAAAAAAACTACTGAAAGAAGAGCATAAAGGCACATATACACTCTATACATGCATCAAGAGTTCCGAGCTTCTGGTTCGAAGGCAAAACATTGAGAGGTCCATCGTTCGCGACAAGTAATCCAAGACGGCGGTCGTGGTTTGATCCCCATCTTTTTGACCCAACTACCCACAATGCCGTGCGTTCGAACCGGAAGCTCGGAACTCTTGATGCATGTATCATCTGCTCAGGACATGTGACATCACTCTGTCATAAACAAGACATGTGACATCACTCTGTCATAAACACGACATGTGACATCACTCTGTCATAAACAGGACATGTGACATCACTCTGTCATAAACTGTCTGGGTCTGGGTCTGGGTCTGGGGGCTGTATGTATTTAGTATCATAGTTTAGTATTGGATTATACCATATCATGACCTGTGTATCAGAGCCTCTGACCCCTAACTTCTGACCTCTGACCCCTAACTTCTGACCTCTGACACCTAACCTCTCACCCCTGACTTCTGACCCCTAACCTCTGTCCTCTGACCCTAAAATATAATAACATCGTTCACTCGCTGCTTTTGCTATGGTCTTTATGGTCTATGGTCCTGTCACCAGTGAATGAGTAACATGAGTGGGGGATTGTCAGTGTTGTCACGCATCTGTGGCACCCCCTGCAGGTGAGAGCCAGATCCTTCAGACTTGTGAAGCTAAGCAGGGTAGGGCCTGGTAAGTGCTGTGATGGGAGACCTCGGGGAACAGCAGGTGCCACAGTGGGGCTGCTGCGGCTGTAAAGTGCCCAACTGTGGTTGTGTCCTTAGGCAAGACACTTCACCCCCATTAGAACAATAAGAATTTGTTGCTTTGAGTTTCATGAAAATAATAGAAAATTGAAGGAAAGAAAAGAGTTTTTGAAACGGTGTGCTTCAGACTCAGAGAGAGCAAAGAGAATCTGCACGGTCATCAGACACACACCTGCACCGGCTTAACACACACAACGACACAGAGACACACACACACACATACACACACAGAGACGCACACACACGCAGAGACAGAAACACTTGCACCGGCTTAACATACACACACACAGAGACAGAAATACACACACGCACACACATAAACGCAAAGTAGTGCTTAAAAGTTCACACACTGCCTTATTGTCCACATTTTGGAGATTACAAATGATAACTTAAAAACTCTGTGTGTGTATGCTCTCCTCTGCAGCATTGCACTGTTGTGTGACATGTAGAGAGACAGCGCTATGTGATGACCTGGCATTTCAGAGGCACACACACATACATACACGCACACACACACACACGCACGCACACAAAGACACACACACAATACAGTACAATACAATTTATTCTTGTACAGCTCTAAATCACAGCAGCATCATCTCAGAGACTGAACAAAACCATTGAAATCACCAACACAGATCAGAGAATCAACAGTTAACACACATAAAGAATATAGAACACATGTTGATACATGTCACACATTTTGATAAATGTCATACATGTAAGTAATTTTTATTTATATACCGCCTTTCACAGACCAGAGTCACAAAGCAGTTTACTATTGTTATTTTTGGGCACTTATCCTCTCACTCCACACAGAGATGGGAGCGGGGTCGCCGAACAGGAGGCGCATGCCAGACCTATTGTACATATTTTTAGTGGTAGGGGAAACCGGAGTACCCGGAGGAAAAACCTACGCAGACAGGGGGAGAACATGCAAACTCCACTCAGAAAGGCCCTGGTCCGACCAGGATTTGAACCCAGGACCTTCTTGCTGAGAGGCGAGAGTGATATCCACTCAGCCACCGTGCCGAGTGGATACATTTATCAACATGTATGATAAATGTTACACATGTTGATAAATGTCATACATGTTGATAAATGTCACATGTTGATAAATGTCATACATGTTGATACATGTCACACGTTTTGATAAATGTCACGTTTTGATAAATGTCACGTTTTGATAAATGTCACATGTTGATAAATGTCATACATGTTGATACATGTCACACGTTTTTATAAATGTCATACATGTTGATAAATGTCATACATGTGATGAATGTCGTACATGCTGACAACTGTCACACATGTTGATCAATGTCATAGATGTTGATAAATGTCATACATGTTGATAAATGTCACACATGTTGATAAATGTCACACACACACACACACAAACACACAGACAGAGACACATACACATACACACACATACACACACAGAGACACACACACGCAAACACACAAACACACCTAAGACACAGAGACAGAAACACCTGCACTGGCTTAACACACACACACACCGAGTGTGTTAAGCCGGTGCAGGTGTTTCTGTCTCTGTGTCTCTGGTGTGTGTGTGTCTCTGTTGTGTGTATGTGTGTGTGTGTGTGTCTCTGGTGTGGCCCTCTGCACTTGTTCCCGAGTCCTGGTCTCTTAGCTCTTATCTGTGTTCTGGTATTTTGGGAATGTGACGCGCAGACAGAGCTGTGTGTGTGTGTCTGTGTGTGTCTCTGTGTGTGTGTCTGTCTCTTTGTCAGGATTTAAAATAAAGAAAATAAAGACAATTACCACACCATGGTACTCATTTCATTGGTACTAAGGTCTGGAATTAACAGGTGGGAGGGGCTAACTCCTTTTACAGATTGAACTGTGACTGAACGTAATGAGGCCGAGTGAGTGAGGCATTATACAGCGATTTGCAAGACACTAAAGGATGCTTTAGAGAGGAAGAGGAGGAGAGGGAGAGGAGAGGAAGAGGAGAAGAAGAGAGGAGAAGGAAAGGAAGAGGAGAGGAAGAGGAGAAGGGAAGGAGAGGAAGAGGAGAAGGAGAGGAAGAGGAGAAGAAGAAGAGGAGGAGAAGAGGAGAGGAGGAGGAGGCGGGTGTTGTTTCTGTGCCACTTAATGACATAATAAAGAAGTCAGTTGATCCGTGGGGTTCAGAGTCCAGGCCTCTCTGTCTATTCTCTTTTAGGAGGTAGTATTTTGCTGCGGTGTAATCCGTCTGAGGGGATTCCTAATCCTCAGTCTCCTGCTGGTCCCGACCTCACATCACTTTGGAAATACTCATAATCTGATTGAAGTGTGACATTATTCAGTGTAAAGGAAGTGGTTTGACAAACTCCCGTCATGAACACGTCAGGGAAAGAGCACAGTGTGAGAATTGGATGGGGCATTTTGGAATAATTAGCACATTTACAATCAGATTCAGTTCATTTGCCATCTCCAGTAAAACCACAGTGGAAAAACTGTACAAGAGACTCCAGTGTCAGCAAACAGGTACAGACATGAAACAAGCTAAAAAGTACGGAAACAGTCAAAAACGGTTTCAATACAAGATCATTAAAGGGCTTTGTTCAGACTGAGAACAGCTGTTAGTGTGTTAGTATGTTAGCATGTCCAGAGGGAAGAA